CCTATAGGCGCCCACTTTTATACTAACAGAGTTTTTTCCTAGCGATTAAAAAGTTTTTATAAAAAAGAGTTATGACGGCGTGTTATAACATTTGTCATTTGTATTATCCTTTGTACATAAAGGAAGGATAAAAAACTATAGAAAGGCTTTAGCTTTACTTTTTATAAATAAGAATATCTGACTTTTTATTATAATAAATAAGACCATAATCACATTTCTCAGAAAAAATCACCGTAGCGAAAGGGTTAAGGAAAAACACGGACCAATGAGAGCGCGAGAATTACGCACGCTCAGCCACAAGACGAAGCTTCAATCCCTATTTTTGCAAAGGGAAATCTTATTCAGACTTACGTCCTCTACCACCTCCTTCCGGGAGTTACACGAGTTGTGAGACACCATGTATATATATCTGTCGGTAGCCTTATTTTGCATTAAAAGAGCAGCGTGAATTTAAAATAATTATAGGCTGCTCAAATATATATCTGTTAATGTGTTAATATGTTATTTTAATTTACGAAAATTATTAAGAAACTTTTGTCAAAACATATTAACCTTCATCCAGATAAAGAGTCATTGTATCAGCTGGTTTACATATTATTCATTATTTATTTATTTTTATAATTTAATTTCAATTCAAATATAAGTGGTCGTTAAACGTCTGCAAATCTAGCTTTAAGCATATGTTGAGTGTATTTACAATAATAAATATAGTATTTAGTGAATAATTAAGAGGTTATTTCTTGTTCATAGAAACAGTAAATAATGCTAATTGAGGCATACAGTATTAATAATGATTTAAGAGTGAGCTTTCATATAACCGTTATAACTCATGCACTACTAGTCAAAATTATAATAATTCATTTTATTTGTAATTAGCGTGTTGTTGTAGATAATACAATTTTCTTCAATTTTTCTACAGTTTGGATTGCAGTCTTTCCTTTTGCAGTATTAAATAAAAATGTAAGGGAAATAATACTATCAGAATAGATTTTGTAATTTTTATATGCACAATAACTTGTTTCTTTTTTTGCGTCCAATGTTATTCGTAGGTTAAATGAAAACATAGGTTCATTTATGAAAAAAATGTGTTTAATAAATAATTATGACAGAAATTTCAATAATTAAGGACTATTTTATTATTATCATTATTAGCAGAAATTTTAAAGTACTTATGTTATTAAATTTTTTAATTCCACGAAGTTTTCAGTTTTAGGATTTTAGGGGTAATAAAATTTAGATATTTTGAAAGTTACTTTTTTTGAACTTAAACATTTATGAATTTAGGAATTTGGGAAATTAGGAAATTCGGAATTTAAGAACTTGAGAAGTAGAAAATTACAAAATTTGGACTTGGATATCTGTAAAACTATATGTAGAATTTGGAAATTTGGAAATGTAAAAATTTATAAGCGTTAATCCTCGTATTCTTTTAAAGCTCAAGGAACTTGGGTAACTTAAAAATTCGAAAATTTAGATATGTAAAATTTACCTTGATTAGGTGTTTCACGCACTTTCCCTTATGTAGTAGCATGCCAAAATTTTATTCTCTGATATAATGGATGTGACATAATATTTTATCAAATTTTTAAAAATTTTGTTCATTATAAATCCTAAGTGCATAAAATGACAAGAAATGAACTTCATACTTAAATTCTAGAACTTCATACATCCTTTAATTTTTCCAAATTGATTTTTGGTAGGAAACAATACAGCTAAGTAGATAAAAACCGTTTCTTTTTACCATTATCAGGCGAAAACGCGTATTAATAATTTCAACCTTCTCATTTCCTTTATATGATGAATGCATTATGTGACTTTTAATATTTTTGTTTTGGATAAGATAAAAGTCGAAGCAATTAAATTAAGTCTCATATCGCTTACTTTTGAAAGATTATCCAATGATTTAATCGCTAACAAAGTAGTCAAGGCATTTGGTTACGGAACTACTTGTGAATGTTTTTTTCTTAGTTCCACACCTTATAAAAATTTAAGTTCTTTTTAAATTCTTTTGTTTCATTTTTTTTATTTTCTACTTGTGAAGAGGAATAACGAAAAACATCCATGAATTTTATAATCATATTGCCTCTCTTATCTACACGGAAATGATAAAATATTACTCATATTTTAACGGAATAATTCTCTTATTCACAACACAGTACACAATGGTTTAAGTATCAAAATGTTCAAATTTTAAAATCACCATCTGGTTCTCCACATATAATCACATAAAATGTGTAAAGAATACTAAATCGAATTTATAAAAAAAAGTATTCGAAACGTCATCGCATCGCTTTAATAATTAAATAAAATGATGGTTAACAAAATTTGACGAAGATCGAAAATCCTAGGATCAATAAAATCCAAATTAAAAGACAGAGATTGATTATTAGAAATAATTTTTGTTTAAATAAAACTTCTAAACAAACGATTCCTTTTACGAATGATGCTTGTCTAATCTACAATTTTCCATAAAAGTAATAAAAATTCATTGTGTACAACATTGTAAAATTTTGTTGTTTGTATGTGAGCTTCTTACGTGATGCAAGGGGAAAATGAGTAGCGTTAGTCATGACAGTAAACTAACACGAAACGAACATACAATTTTGACTAGCAGTGTATTTCCCGCGTTTTCTTGGCGACCAATCGGATGTCACTAGATGGACTCACCTCGCCAGCTTGTAGGGTTAATTCTTTGGCAGTTTCGAAGTATTCTCTGATATCTTGCTCGGTCGTCATGATCACTAGTGACGAGGCCTTCGACGCAACGACTGATCGATTGAACGCAGAGTCTTCGTGTGAGCATCCTCTTATCTTTGTCAGTACTGATACAGAATCGCGCAAACGGCATAGGCAGTTGAATCTAAACATTTGAGGAGTAGTGCTTATCTTAGATGTCGCATCGTATCGACCAAAGTTTCAGCTTTGAAGTTCTGTGTTTAATCAACAATTTGAAGTTTCTCAGGTGGTTAGGTACTTCTTTTGGTGCTATGTTCACTCATCGCACTGCGATGAATTTCATACTAATTTGCTATTCGATAAAATTTATTTAATAACAAAATTCGACGCTTTAGAGTGTGTGTCCAAATTATACTGCAAGTTGCATATTTTGTAACAGTTACTTGCACTATTTTGAAGAGACTCGTGACGCACTCAGACTTCAGCTGTGGTCAATTTTACTCGAATTTTTAATATGTTTCAATTTGGAGTTGAAGTCCAATTATTTGCATAGTCAACGATTGCATAATTACCAGTTTGACATGACACTTCAACTTTCTTTGTCTGTTTTAATACTGTGGATCTGGCTAGTTCTGACTAACGCATCTGACAAATAAATCATAGTACAAGGGGTTAACCGACGAAATAGAATAGGATGTTTTATAGTAATGTTACAATATATTGCATATTTTGATGAACTGTTAACTTAATAACGATTTTAAATTAGAAAATTTTTAAATAGGTATTTAACATTATTTAAATACCTATTTTTCAATGGGTATTAAATAAGTGTTTAAGAAGTTTGATATTTAGGTCCTTGAAGAATTAAGGATATTGCAATTTGAACTTTTTGAAATTTTAATATTTTGGAATTTGGCAACTGGGGAATTTGAGAATTTGCGAATTCCATTCGACAATTTGAGTGTTTATGAATTTGGAAGTTTATGTTTTTAAACATTTTTTAATGTAAAAATATAGGGATTTGAACGTTTAAAATTTGAATATTACTGAATTTGGTAATCTATGCATTTGGAAATTTAAGTTTTCGACATTTTGGATATTTAGAAGCTTGGGATTTTTGAATTTTGGAATGTGGGAATTAGATCATTTGAGAATTTAAAAATTTTAAAGTTTGGGGATTTACACTTTTGGAATTTGATGATTACAAAATTAAAAAATTTGGTAATTTAAATATCAAGGAATTTGAAAATTTGAAAGTGTGAAATATTAAATTTTGCAAATATAAGACCTACTGTAAGACGAGGTAGAAAATGATTGAATGGCTAAGTTCGATTTCAAAAATACTATATATTTTATGTAAGCTGATTCCGTGGGCGAAGTAGTGTCCTCGAGAGAAGAATGTCCTCCAAAGGTCTCTAAACGAATGCCCTCTTTCCGTTCCGCGAGATGTCCTAGTCTCCGCGAAACTTGAGGCCCCAGAGTTGTTTTATGGTTCGGACATCACAGCGTCAGGCCTTTACCCCGTGGTGGTCGTCGTAGGACGGCCATGTGCCCGTCGTCCCTGCTTTATTGGGGTGGGTCACTGGGAATTTTCTAACACTACTATTTTTGAAAATCTTTAAATTTGAAAGCTTGTATTGTATTTAGAAATTCGAGAATTTGAAAATCTGGCAATTTAGATATTTGGAAACATAAATCCTTCAAATTTAAAAATTTTAAAATACAGTAATTACAAATAACTATGAAACAATTATTTAAATCAAGTAAAATGAAAATTTGAACAGCTGTTTCATTAATTTATTGATTTATTTGTGTCGTAAATTTTATTCAGGAACACACATAAAAATGTAAATAACTGTAAGCGGCCAAAATACACAGTATTACATAATATAAAAGTATTACATAAATAAAATTATAAAAGTAAATTTTAAAAGAGCAAAATGTAGTGCTTTTCAAACATAACACTCGCGATGACTCCACTGAGCGCAGGCAAACCTGAGGAAACGAAAAACAACACAAACGGAAAATTGACAGTCTTGAAAACAAAATAAAAGAAAATTAGCTCTAAATTTAAATTCAGTATTTGGCCGTTATTGACGACTTTTCAACAAGTTAACATGTATTTACGCATAACTAAATATGATTATTAACATTGCTGAATGGTATATATTAATGTTGGAGCACTAATGTGCAACGTGATAAATTTAGTCGGAAGTAGGATAAGTGTACGCATAAATATCATATCAAAGAATACTGACACACCATACTTTTTAATGTCACTCGTAATTATATTTATAGCCTCATAACGTACGTGAATAAAATGAATGAAAAAGTTGTTCAAATTGCCATCTTTATCGTACACAAATTTTTTACTCATTTCGAACATTTTAATTTTTATTTTCAAATGAATTAAGTTTTATTTAACGATATAAAGTTAATTATAATTAATATATTTTGTTAAAATGTTTTAATGGTTTCAAATATTCTCAACTATAATCTAAATTTCTTAATGGTATAGTTCTGTAATTCGATAAAATTATAAAAAAATACATTAAGCGTTTATCTCATTGAGCACCAATTAACAATTAACATTTAATCTATAACTACATGTCAATTAATCAAGAATTAATTTTCAATCGTTTTCTAAATGATTTTTTAAGTTAATTTTCAAATTTTATTTACAATCAATTTTATCAAATTAAGGTAACTTTAACTAAAGATTTTTTCAATAAACAGTTAACTTTACATCGTTAAATAAAACTTAATTTTTTTGAAAATAAAAATTATTATGTTTGAAATGAGTAAAAAATTTGTGTTTTTTTTTATTACTTACAAGGAAAGGCACGCAAGTGTCCCCCTCCGATTTTGATGAAACTTCGTAGGTTTGTTAAGCAGGCAAAAATAAGGGACACGTATTTTTTTTTTATCGGCTGAGACGCGGGTTTAAGGGGTGAAACGAGCCCTTAAAGTTTCGACCCCTTTTGGCTATCTCGAAAACCATACGAGATACATTAAAACTTCTAATAGAAAAGTTGTATGGTTTCTTGCGTATAATAACAGGATGTTAACGAATTTTGCAAAATACAATTTGTTTATAACAAAAAAATTTTTCATAACCTTATTTTACAATTTATTCAAATTTGTATAATGACAAAAAGTGTAGAGAATTTTATTACAAATCCATTGGTATATATATATGCGATATTGCCTCCTACAATTCCTTAGATTTTTATCATAAAGATTCGCGCGCGCGCCCGCATGATACTAAACTGGATCATATCGGACGATATTACACTACCAGTCAACGTCATTTTTAAGCATAAATAAAAAACAATTATATTTGCGTTATACATAACTGTTAATTTTATTAAATTTGTATTACGAAACATTTATTGTTAAAGTACATAGGTATTCTATGTATATGTAGTTAGGGAGCATAATCGTGGCAATAATGGTATTCTTCGAAAAAATGTTTCAAACACAACGGTTTCCGACATTAAGTATATGTAATAATAGGTATATCACGGCATATATATATGGCATAGTGGTTCATTATGTGATGCATAGCAAAATTCTACTGTATTTGGAAAATGAGGTGGTTTTGACGATATGAATCCACTTTTATATCATAAAATGAAATTTTCAAATCGTGGTGAAGAAAACTGATTATGAACAAGTCATTGTAGTTGTAGAATGCTATCTCGTGTGTGGAGAAAATGTCATATTGCAATATAACAACTATGTCCGAAAAGCGACAAACAAAATTTTGCCATACGCGAAATCCGTACACGTATAATAGTTGTAAATATTTTGTAG